TACAGCTTTTGTTGACGTTGTACATGTTTACTGTCCAGAAATTAAATGGAGGAAGGTTCTTTACCACTACCAGGCTCAACATTTTTCTGCATCAATGTTTTTGCAGCTTATGCCCTAATTTTCAATACTGATACAGAAAGGACTTATCTTCCCAAGTGTTCTCAAACTCAACAGTTATATATTTTTTAATTGTACATGTGGTGAGAACAAAAGCACCTGAACAGAGCAGTCAAATCTTTGTAGGCCTGAAAACTGTGCTAGCAGGGACATTTCAGAACCATTGTTTCATTTTAAAACGAGGACTGAGGCTGCATTCACACTTGAGTGTTTTGTAACTTGAAGCTCCAAAAAAAGATCAAACTTAAAAAAAATCAATTGTTGTCTATGGTGCCTGTTCACACCTGATAGCGCAAACAGGCACCATACAGAACAATTGATTTTTTAAGTTTGAGCGTTTTTGGAGCTTCAAGCTTTGAGCTTCAAGCTACAAAATGCTCAAGTGTGAATGCAACCTAAAGACAGTTAAAAGCTGACTGCCTGCTAATGGTGACAAGTATGCTTCCCATTAGCACACTTTTAGAATGTTAACCCCTGTGCTCAAGTGGCAAAAAGTAAATTAGTATACATTTCAGAAATGAAATCATAGGAATATGCAAATACCTTCTGCACTTGCAGATGCACACTGATAACACTGTTCAACAAATTTTTATTTTTTACCAGTTTTGGAAACAAAAGGATCCATTTCTTAATGAATTTCACATTCTGAGTTCAAATATAACAATGAAATTTGTCAATTGGCTCTAGTTTTTCTGTAAACGGAAAGTTTTCTACTATAGGCGTAATGACTACATAATGCACAATAATTATATAGATAGATGTCTTTCTACAAATATAAAGCAAGTGATATTGACTACATAACAAAGCCTAAATGGCATAATATATTGCATAGGATTACCAAGAAAAATTATAGCCATAAGCTAAGTTGAATCATTTTAATACTTAGGATTCTCACTAGTTTTGTCTTCAGTTTGTGTCGGTTTTGCTTCTCTTGGCTTTTCTCTTGTATTCGAGGAAAGGGCTATCTCTTACAACTGCACGTGACTACACGCTTCAGGTTCTTCCTCACTTGACTCAACCACGAAGGATTCTGGTGCTTTAGGAATTGGTAGCCCCTCTCCATGAGGAACTGGACGTATTGCCGATGGAATATTTGGATAGTGCACAGATAACTTTTTCTTCTTATTTAGCCCTTTTACAATTGGAGGCACCATACAAAAGTAACAATTACTAACATGATCTGTTGGCTCTCTCCAAATCATTGGCACAGCGAAAGGCATAGATGCCTTTTTTCCATTCAACCATTGCTCCAGTGCCGTCCCACAAGAATTGCAGCATATATGTGGTGCCCAGCTCTTGTCCTGGTCTCCTATCTTGCAGCCAAAATACAAGTTGTAGGCTTTCTTAATCATTCCTGTTATCCTCCTTTTTTGTGAGATAAAAGTTATTTCACCGCAGATATAGCAGAAATTATCTGCTTTATTCACACAAGTTCGAGGCATTACTGAGTAGCCTATATAAGCATAAAACGAAATGTAAAGACGCTGTCGAACTACAATCAGCTACAGATACTGCAGCTTTTATGCAGTGAAGTGATGCAATTAAAGGCTAATATTGCATCATCTCAGTATACATGCAATTTTCTATTGGTCACCAGTATCAATTGCGCAATATGCAGCTGAAGTTGCATCATAATTTTGAATGGCTTACGTCATTAGATGGGTGAATATATCATGGAAACTAGAGCCAATCAACATTTTTTAGGGTCATTTTCGTTTTCAGCACCCCAAAATTATGTAAGATTAGCTAATTTTATGCCCAAAACTTTTTACCTGTTGAACAGTGTAATAAAACCTCCTGCACTTGCAGTTGCACAACAATAATAAATCATTCTGCAGTGGCACAGGAATAATAAAATCATCTGCATTTGCAGTTTCACAGGAATAATAACACCTCCTGCATGTGCAGTTTCACATGAATAATAAAACCTTCTGCATGTGCAGTTTCACTGGAATAATAAAACCTCCTGCATGTGCAGTTTCACAGGAATAATAGAAATCTCCTGCATGTGTAGCTGCACAGGAATATTAAAACTTGCTGCATGTGCAGTTGCACAGGGATAATAAAACCTTCTGCATGTGCAGTTTCGCAGGAATAATAAAACCTTCTGCATGTGCAGTTTCACAGAAATAATAGAAACCTCCTGCACGTGTAGCTGCACAGGAATAATAAAACTTCCTGCATGTGCAGTTGCACAGGAATAATAAAATCTTCTGCATATGCAGTTTCACAGGAATAATATTACCTTCTACATGTGCAGTTTCACAGGAATAATAAAACCTCCTGCATGTGCAATTGCACATGAATAATAAAACCTCCTGCATGTGCGATTGCACAGGAATAATAAAACCTCCTGCATGTGCAATTGCACAGGAATAATAAAACCTTCTGCATGTGCAGTTTCACATGAATAATAGAAACCTCCTGCATCTGCAGTTTCACAGGGATAATAAAACCTCCTGCATGTGCAGTTTCACAGGGATAATAAAACCTCCTGCATGTGGAGTTGCACAGGAATAATAAAACCTCCTGCTCTTGTATTTGCCCAGGAATAATAAAACCTCCTTCACTTGCAGTTATACAGAGATACTAAAACCTCCTGTACTTGTAGTTAGACAGGAAAAGTATGGCCTGGTTCACTACAGTACATTTAACATGGTTTCCTATGGGATACATTCACATTTATGTGTTTTTCAGCTGCTGCACAAAAAGCACTGCAAAAAGAGAACTGCTTAGGTGTGAACCAGGCCTAAAACCTCTTGCACTCTCCTAAAACCTCCTGAACGTGCAGATGTACAGGAACAATAACACTTCCTGCACTTGCACAGTGGTAAAAAACCTCCTGCACTTGCGCATAGATAGTAAAATCTCTTGCGCTTACAGTTGCACACTAATAATAAAACCTTCTGCACTTGCAGTTGTACAGTAATACTACAACCTCCTGCACTTGAATTTGCACAGGGGTAGGAAAACCTGTTTCTGCAGTTCCACAATAGTAATGTAACCTCCTGGCACAGGGATACTGACACCTTCTGCATTTGCCATTGCACAGTGGTAATAAAACCTCCTGCACTGACAGTTCCATAGGCATAGTAAAACTTCTTGCACTTTGAGTTGGACACCAATAGTAAATCCTTCTGCACATGCAGTTGTACAGTTATAATTAAACCTCCAGCATGTGCAGTTGCTCAGGTATTGTAAATCTTCCTTTGCATAAATGCACACTGATAGTAAAACCTTCTGCTCTTGTAGCTGCACAGTGATAGTAAAACCATCCGCAATCACAGCTGTACACTGATAGTAAACATTTCTACACATTTGGTCGTACACTGGTAGAAAAATCTCATGCACTTTTATTTGCAAAATGATAGTGCAGAAAGAAAGAGAGACCCAGACAGCCTCATAAGGGTGATCACCCATTTATAGTTACACCACTGAACTGCCAAACAAAATAACTTCTAGGCTTGTTTTTTATGATGATTAATTACAATATTAAAGCTGAACACCAGGAAAACTGCTAAATTCATGGTTTAAGTGCATCCATCAAATCTTGTGGTTTAGACAGCCCTCCCAGACAGCACAGACAGCTAGGTGACCTGACTTTTCTCTATTGTAATTTAGCAAAACAGCTTGATCGCCTCTCTGCTCCCAGTCTGCCCTTCAATGAGTAAGCAACAAGAGACATGTGAGGTCATCTCTCTGCTCTCTCTTCCTGAATTCATGGCACTTTATTGGCTCTAAGTACTGCCTCTCCCTCTCCCAGTCTGGGTGCTCATGTACAGAGCATTACAGAAGCCTGAATTTAGGGCTACTTCAAATATTTATACTATGTATGTTACTAACCCCACAACAGTAAAATCAGTCTGTATATGCAGTAAAGCATGCTTGTTATACTCACTATGGAACCTAAGGGGTTAATCTTCTGCATTGTTTTAAAATTTCTGTTCTCTGATCCTCCCCTTCTTCCAGTTATCTCCTGATAAGACATATCATGTGGAGACACTTTTAACATGCTCAGTTTTTTTTGGTTTCTTGAGAGAGTGCATGTGATCAGCACAGGGCCAATCAGCACTGTCCAGACAGAGGTCAGGGGTTCTGCATCCTCCTAGAGCAGAAAGAAAACTCCTCCTACAAGCTTTAACCAGTGCTCTGCTGGACACTGATAGACGTCAGAAGACTGCTGTAACTGCTGATGAGAAAAGGTATGTAGCAGTTTATATTTACTAAAATAATTGCATTTCCCTGTTCTGTGTACTGTGGAAGACCAGATAGAGTGAATGCAGGGTCCTGGGTTTAGTAACAATTTAAAATATATTTAATTATCTTTTAAAGCAATATTAAAATCAAAATAAAAAATGTATTATACTGCAGCTTACCAACCACTAGATGTGGTGGCTGCATTGGTTTTTTAATGCTTTTTCACACTGTTTTTTCCTGGTGATCTGGCCAGTAACACTCCTCCTTCAGAGTGTCCAGATTCTGGATGAATGAGCACAGGGGCACAGCAGACCACATCATTGTCAGTTGGGGCGATGCAGATTTTGAAAACCAACAGACTTACTGGCTGGATCACCAGATGAAAATAGAAAACTGAAAGCCTAAAAAAGGAAACAAATCCAGCCATCACATCTAAGAATTAGTAAGCTACAATATAATACATGTTTGCTTTTGGGTTTAGCACTGCTTTAATAAATACATACAGTAAATGCATTCCTTACTTTTTAATATGAATTAAAAGTAAAATTCTTCATATTTTAAACAAAGATAAAAATCAAGAAGTATACCAAAAAAATGAACTCTACTTTCCCATGTCACCTATCAGTATGCTTAGTCCTTCTTGCTTTTTTTAAAATCTTCTACATAAAATACATGCATTGTCCTACTCACCTAGGGGAAATATCGCACCCCTGTTGCATAAATGCTCCCAGTGAAAACCAGAGGCTATTAAATATCCCAAATTCATTTGAATGGTCCGTAGAAGGTGGCTCTCTTCCCTCCTCAAATTCTTCATTGTGCCATTCATATGGACTAAACCGACTGACTAAAAAGAGGACCACACTAACTCCAATGTAGGCAAACACTATGCACATCCAGATCTCATAGGCCAGTGGATCCAAAAAGGAGAAGACACCTGGTTTTGACTTCTGAGGCTTCTTAATCATAATGGATATACCCAAGCTCATAAAAGGTTTGGAAAAGTCAATAACTTCTTCTCGGACCAGAGTAATTGTCAACGGGGCCACCGCAAGATCCGCTCTCTGAAAGCACAGGAACAAGCACAATTAACATTTTTCAGAACTTCTTTTTATTTGAATTTTATTTGGTTAAAAAGTAAGTAAGTGAGTAATTTATAGTAAGTACGCAGTAGGCACAAAGATACAATGTACAAAAAGTTACTTTGCTAAATACACTAGTATTCAGGCAGCTTATATTGTATACAAAAATTTATGTTTCAGAGCATAATATTTTTATATCCTTATCAGTTTTTATTACAAGATAATTATACATATGTACACAGTTTTTCAGAATGTGTATGGGAATTATGGGCAGATTTGTGTTTTATGTGTTTCTATTGCAAGATGATTATAAATTTTACACAATATTTCAGAACATGTTTGGGAATTATAGCCACATTTGTTGAGGTTACAAAACATAAAGTCATAGATGAAATACATATATGTTAACAGTTTTACCTACTAAAGGGTTTGTGTTTTATGTGTTTCTATTGCAAGATGGTTATAAATTTTACACAATATTTCAGAACATGTTTGGGAATTATAGGCACATTTGTTGAGGTTAGAAAACTGATAAAGTCATAGTTGAAATACATATATGTTAACAGTTTTACCTACTAAAGGGTTTGTATTTGTGTTCACACAGTCCTGAGATTTACAAAGTATTGCAGAGGCCAGAGCTATATTGGTGATCTGACCTCCAGCCTGTAATAGGACTGTAAAGGAGCAGCAGGTGACTGAAGAGCTTAACTCTCTGCTCATGCAGCACACATATTCACACAACATTGTCTCCCAGTACTAGCCCTCTCTCTCTCGTAGTGTGAATGTTACAAGAAATAAAGGGAGCTGATACAACATGCAATTTAGGTACACACACTTCACTATTACTTACAGCATTAAACTACTTTTAATGATTTCTTTATTGAATACATAAATGTAATAATTTGTGTTTTTTATGTCTGTCTTTACATACCATTTAATGGATATAGTTTTTTCACATACAAATTAAATATTTTATGCTACAATGTCAGCTGTTACTAATCAAAAGCTAATAATAAAAGCAATGGTGATATTTTTTAAAAGACTAGCCCTTAATTTTGAATATCATCAAATCTGTATAGATGGTGCTGAAAGTTGGGTACAAAACTGGGGTTGTGAAGTTTGATGTTTGTTTAAAGCAGGGGTTACCAAGGTAAAACAGCTTACTTATGAAACCAAAGACTAGTGCACAAATACTTTTGTACATGCCAGTACCCCTGAAAAACACCACACCTGCCACATAGCCAAATTGGGCTTGGTAGGTTCTAACAATGTAGCAATCAAACCACGTGCTAAAATTTTCATACTATTATCTTATTGCAAGAAACATCTCTCATGATAACATATAGTTTTACTAAAAGTAAAAAGTTCATTGGTATAGAATCATTTTTGCGTATGAAATTAACACTAACTACTAAAGCTATTGTGTTGTAAACAGGTATTTCATCAAGTATGTCTTATTGTCAGCTGGATCAAATTTTGTTTTCTCCTCAATAGGTACACCATAGAAACTTGCTGCTAATGACAACCAGAAGGCAGCAGTAAAGATCAATAATATAACATGTGTACAGTAAATTTACAGTGGACTTTGCATGAAATTGTAAGGCTGGATTATGTTGCAACTTCTTAATAAATAAGGATCAGTTAAAAAAAATAAAGGAATAAAAAAATCTGAAGAAAAAAGCAGAAAATACTTTAAGCCCAGCCTTCCGAATGCTTCCTGTAGGCACCAGTGTCATCACTGTGGAAACTTGGGGGCATTCCAGCTATGCTGTTGTGGTATTTGGGATCCTTAGCTTTTGCAGGTTCTTTGAGAAGGCCTACCCTTGGCTAGGCAGGTGCTACAGAAGCTGGGATGTAAGGTATTTTTACATGTTTTCTTCAAAATGTTTTTTTTATTACTTTCACTAAATGTTTTTATTAAGGAGCTTGGCTACAATTAAGTGAATCTTGCAATTTCATGAAAGGTTTGCTTTAAAGAATATCTAAAGGAAAAAGAGCACTTTTTCCAAAAAAACATAGTTTTTGGCTTTATTGGCACGTAATGGAAGACATGCAGAGGCTGCCATTACTGATCTCCTAAGAGTACAAGTTGCCTAGCTGTCCCAGGCTCATTGACTTGAAAGAAAATGCAGATAATAAAGTTAGAGGGCAGCTAAAAGTTCTAATCTGCATACAATTTCAAGGTTAGTACTGAAGTCACCAAATCCACTCTTCCAGGCAACTTAAATTTTCAGAAGTCAAAAATGGCCGCCTTCACATTTTTCAATACAGGATTTCTTTAAGGCTTTTTAGACATTGTATCAGTAAAATGATATCATTACTAAATCTTCCAGACAGCAATCAAAGTATCATGCTGTTAGCAATGTTTGCAAAAAACATCAGGAATTCAAATCTTTACATAACAAACAGTTTTCTGTCAAACTTGATATTGTAGGACAGGCTACTAAAATATGGCTTTACATGCGCTTTTTCAGTTCTAATCAAAGGTAATAGTACATTATGCTTCTTGGTTACCAGAGTCAGTATGCAGCTTTCAGCATTCCTCTCAATACTCTCATACAGAATAATCTATACAGTTATACATGTACTAACTCATAGAAAATGATTCAATTGTAAGTCCATCTAAAAGCAGAAGAATTGCATTTGAGTTACTAGTTCACTTAAATCAGATAATTCATTTTAAGGTGAACAGTAATGAATTGCATTGCCCAGGTGATTCATACAGTGAATTGTGCTTTGGTGATGCAGAACAAAGCAAAAGGCTTTCATTGATGCCATCCTCGCTAGCTACATTTACTTATCTTCCTTTAGCTCTGGGCTACTCTGTTCAGTCACTGGGAGCAAAAAAACAATGGCTTTGTGTAAGCTGAAAGATCCTCTGGTCATAGCTTACACAGGGCTAAGGACTGTCTCATGCAAGCATGTGATAGCACTGGGCCAATCACCAGATCTGTCACATAAGAAGAAGGGGAGTGAGTCACAACCTCCTCCATGCATGGAAGTACCAGATATTATCTTTGGTCCCACCAGCTGAATAGAAGTGGCAGGGGAGTCAACAAAGGTGAGAATGAGTGCCTTAATATGAAAGCAAAGCTCTTGCTTTGCCTTGCATGACCAAACAATTCTTTAAGAAACCCTCTTTAATAGAGTACATTCAGCATAAAAAAATGGAGAAAAGCCATTATTCACTCATTGCTAAATTGGTATAATGTTTCTGAATTGTCCAGTGAACATGCCTGTGTCTTTGTTGCCTGAAAATTAATGTAGCTTATATCTGTTTTCCTTTTACTCCCTTTTTTGTTAATTTTCTTATCAAAAGTGGGTTCTCTGAAAACTGTGTTTTTGTTTACAGTAACCCTGTCACCTCTGAAGATGAACTAAAAAGAAAGTACTCTGTAAATCAAGGAGAAGCTTTATACATACCTATCTAGCAGGTTGTAGGAAGGTGCAGTCCCAGTTCTCTACTGTAAGTGGCACTTGGCTGGAACAATACTGCAGCTGGAAACTTAGTTTCCTTATGGCTTCCTTGCTCCTCTGAGACAGTGTTCTGGTTGGCTACAGTACATGCAGATGATCCTGGTGGCCATCTTGGGTCAGCAGAGCCTTTTTAAGTGCCTGCTCTCAGGATTTGGTGTGTACTTTTGTGAGTGGATAGGATAGGGGCAGTACACCCATTTGACAGGGATAATGAACAGTCGTAGGGAAAGGTTCCAGATGAGTAGGGAAAGGCTAGGGTCATGCCATCCTTCTTCAGAATCCTTCCCATTTGGCCAAGACTGACCAGGCCGCATTTTGCCCTTGGAGACAGTTGCTGTCAGTGCATCAGAACCTGCTCCAATCTACAAGTTTTTCACAGAACTGTGAGTGTACCCAGATAGGTGCCTTCCCACTGGGTTGTATATATTATCTTTGGGCCATTTCTTCCATACAAGTTTTTTTAATTACAACCATACTCAGAGTGTTCACTGCCACCATATTGCGCTGCACCCACCCACAAGGTGATGTATTGAAAATTGCTCTCTTGAAAAGTTCCTGGCATTGCTGCCATTTGACACCTCTGTGGCTCAGATAGTTTGTCACCTGCTGTGCACTGTGATTCCTCCCGTTGACCACTCTGTCATTGCAGGACACAGTAATGACATTGGGGTTAGTGGAAGGAACCTCAGCAAGGGACTTTCTTGTTACGCAGCCCCTCACCCCTGAGTAAATTGCTCAATGAAAGCAATAAAAGAGTAAAATATTTGAAAAAAAAGACTTTACACTCCAGCTTCTTACATCTACTTGTGGCATCAGTGATGTCACTGGGCCTTACCACAGGATCCAGGGAACTCAAATATCACAAGGGGATGCTGCAGCATTTGTTCAGATATGCATTCTTATGGGATTTGGAATCCTTGACTTTCACAGGATCCCACTAAAAGGTTCAGTGAAGCCATCATTGCTGGAAGCAAGTTTTTACTTTCTTGTATTCTTTACTTAGCATATTTTTATTCAGAAGGTGATGGAGTGCAACATAAGTACACTTTGACCCCCTCCCCAAGATGACTTGAGAACCACTCTCTTACTCTCCCCCCATCAATGTAGAGCATGTGGCCATGATGTCCTGCACTCATAGTCTTTCCTCATTGGGAACATCTTGTGGCAAACAAAAAGTATTGCAAGGGGCAGCCCTGACTGTATTGCATCCAGAGGTGTTTTTTTAAAGTTCCAGGGGGGCAGTAAAATAAATATAGTCAGATGTTGGGCTTTAAACTCCAACATCAGGCAAAACTGTTTTTTCATTTTGTTTTGAGTGAAGAAGGGTTAGGACTTTCAACTTTTTATTGTTGTCTGTGTCCATGTTTGGGAGATTTCATCTGACTTCAAGTCTATTTGATGGATGTCAAACAGAAGGTATATTAGAGAGAAAATTCCCCTGTATATGGGCCCTGACAGCATTTAACACACATATTCAAGATTTTTGTTACTAGTGGTGTCGCCAT